AATAATGATTTCATAGTTCGTTAGCTTTTGCACACATGTGGGCTCTGCTATTTCACTATGTTGAACTTTAAGGTAGAGCTTTATCTTGGGAAAAGGGATTGCCATTTGAGCTTCTGGCACGTCAACATGTTGACGATAACATAGTGATTATGTGTACTATGTTGGTTGATCAAGCAGCATCGTAGGGTGTAAATGGGGATGTGCCTCCACGGCTGCCCAGTCAAAATCAGGCCGGTGTACAACTCGCGACGCCATGTCCTAGGACTAAGATACATGTGTCGTAACAGTATTTCTTACGGGTCAGAAGCGAAAAGCTCTGATACAGATGGAAGCGCTACACCTAGAGATAGTGGTAATGGGTGCGTTCGTGTATTTGAATGTAAAGGGTGAGGCAAAAACATGGAGACCGATTAAATGCTACGAAAAACGTGCTGAGCCCAAAACAGAAAGTAACAACAAAAAACTCCACAGGAGTCTTTTGTTTGCTTCGAAACAATCTCCATGTACTTGGGCACACGCGGAAGGAGGGTCGAGAACGAGGCAACCGTGAAGAGGTATTCAAGGGTGGGTGGGTCTTTGCCTATGCCATGAACTCGATTATGTGTTTCGCCTTTTGGATGTCGTAAGAACCCATTGTCGAAGTTGCTCACAATAGCTAGAATCATCGGCATCTGCTTTCTCGAGCTCAAGGAAACGGCAGAAAAGAAAGGGTAAGAATTAGATGTCTGTTTCCGGAGTCAGTGAAATTTTGGGCAAGGATCACACCTGTAGAAAAAGCCCTTCTCGTTTCTGTTGATAGGAACATTGGAACCAACTCAGAAATCTACCAAATTGTTATTTCGAAGAACACACACTTATACCACTAGTCCAAAAACACTGCCAGGCAAAACTTTATTCTGCAGCAGAACGGTGCACCAGTTCAAGAATCGAAGTCAACCATCCTCTTCTGCAACCGCTTTTCAGGAAAGGATATGTAGCCGCCTGACTCTGCAGACTTGAATCCAATGGTCTATTCTGTATGAGGCTATTTACAGAAGTGTCTTCTGCTGCTTATTGCAGTCTGGATGGATTGAAAGCAGGGTTTGATAGGGAGTGAGAGAAGGAGTAATCCGAACCTTTTGTCGAGGCAGTCTATTGCTCATTCAGACTTCCTCACTTAGTGTGGTTAACCAGGCAGGGGTGGCGTCCGCTCAAACAGCGGTGGATGTCTGGCAATGCTACGAGCTCTGTGAGGAGTGGAATGCAATTTTTTTGTTCCATTGAAGTTTCGTGGCCACAGACCGCAAAGCCAAACTTCGCGTGAAGTATGGTGAGCAGCAGATATGTCGAACAATATTTACTGATGTGGGCCATGAAGATACTCGGTAAGGCTCATTCCTACTTACATAAATTGCCTACAAACAGTCATGGGTTCAGACCAAGTCAAAGTAGGTGTCGTTACTAAAAATGGCGTTTATGATTCAAAGGACATAATTTGAATATATTTTCAGAATCCAGATGCAAAAGAGTATTACGACAACATTTCAATGCTTATAGATCACACCCTCATTAATGCTAACCGGTTACTGGAAAGGCTGAAACCCCAGCCTGCTGTGAAGAAACCGAGTAGTAATAGAACTCCTCCTATTAGAAGAAAGTCATCTAGTTCAAGTAGTGAGTTACTCCGAAGGCGAAAAAATTTTAAAGCTGGACGTGAGTGGTGTCTCTGAAAAACTAACCGTTTATGTACATGCCTCTACTCTACTACCGTCTAATCCTTGCTAACGTCGCATTCTTCTACTCCCTAGGACAAGGTTGAGGTGCTCCGACTAACAATGTAAGCACTAACCCTCATATCCGAGCAAACGAAACATTTATGATTACTAAATCATAATCAAATGACTTACAAACGTGCAATGCACAGAGCCACGAAGGCACTTCGATTTTGACATAGGGCCATCAATTAGGGGAAAGCTGCATAAATAGACTACGAATAGACTAATATTAATCCATCGAAAACTTGAATAGTACGTACTCAGGCTATCGATTGGTGATAAGATCACTATCAGAAGTCCTTTCATGCGACGTTTCTCGAAACCGACGTCGCGATGAACGCGATTAAAGTAAACTTCCGAGAACATACTTCGTTGTAATGCGCATGAAATTGATTGTCTTGGATTCTATAATTTTATTGAACCCCTATAGAGCATCCTCTATTAAAATAGTATTCCTCGCTGTAGGCTAGTGATATACTCAGATTGTCTCCATACCACTTGCTCATATTACTGTGTGAAAAGACAATGACTGCACACGTGTGGTAAGATCAATCGGAATATTCAAAACCTCTGGGGAACACGAGAAAAACTTTGTGGAAGATTCGGCCTCTTCTGTTGTGAGAAAACTCAAGTTACCGACACCATTATCAGTGAAAACAACTCGAAAATTATCAGTCATATGAAAAATTCAGGTCTGCCGATGAGCAGATCGTCGACGTTGAGCTCTAAAGGAGCCTCCAAGAATTATGCGAACACCCCATCTCGATTGAAATCTAGAAGGTGAATTCTATCCCTAGGTATCGGTTACGATTAGTCTATAAATCCAACTGTAGTGGAGGTATATATTTATGTAGTTAAGCGATATTCAAAAGCCATCGAACCAAGTTCTATAGATGAGCTTTAAAGGCACAGTTCACGATAGGTTTGAGTACTCCTTTTAAGTCGAAAAGCGAAAAGATTGAAATTATTGCACCAGTAGCGAAAAAAGCAAGTAAATTCGACGATTTTCGTGGAAAATAGGGCTCCGAAAAAACGAAAATAGAGCTTGGATGAGATTACCATGACAGAAGTAACATGGAAGAGGCATTCGGGCGAGATTCCAGTTGTTCCGATTGCGCACAGAGCTGACTACATCATGCCGGAACTGTACA